TTATCTCATAAGACCACTAATTATTCTAACATGTCTTCTACTTATCGCGCCTATTTCTAGTAGATAGACATAGCGTTTTGTGGTCAGCTCGTATTCTGCGAAATGGGGACAGAATAGAATGAATTTTGGGGATAATTGTAGCGCAATTTCAGTACATTTATGACATTTATTTTGGCTGCAAATATGCCAATGCAAAATATGACTAGCAAGCTGAAGGAAGCAGTCTATCCGTTAGTATCCAATAAAGAGTAATACATAAATTAAAGAAACTAAAAGATAATAATTGTGCAGCAAATAAGTAAGCATGTCGCTGGCTACATAATAAAAGGAAGCGCATTACCGTAAGTATTGACGGAAAATCCGTGCAGAAATAAAGTAAAAGCCTTTATGCTTCTAACCTCAGAGGAAATTTCTGAAGATCGAGCCGATGGAGTTCTTAACTGATCGAGATTGGTCATAAACATATTTCGACTAAATGGTGAGACGGCTGAAGTTGAAGTGGTGTCTGAAACACCAAATGTCCTGGATGCCTGCGAATTCAACCGAGGACGTTCAGCCAAAGGAAGAGTTAGACGCCGATGGGAGTGCGGGGTGGTATTCGAAAGTGGGATATCATAGCACATTTGCAATGGCGAAGCAGAGATGGGAGTCAGTGGTAGGGGAGACCGCCGCAGCAATCCTAGATTATCGAGGTGCTGACTAATGAGAAATAAAAATGGGTAAAAGTGAAATCCTAAGGAACAAGAGGCATAACATTTAGGACGGAAACAAACAATTACTCCACACCCAGTCAAAAGAATGCTGGCAGTACACGATTGTGCCCAGATAGAGACGCCTCTTAAAATTATAACCAGGCCTGACCATTCACATCCCCAACAAAATAGCTTGAAATATTGTATAAACATGTGTTCATACAAATGGGTGCAAACAATAAGTTCGAGACAATATGTAAGTAAAAGCTTTGACATAATAAAATTGTATGGTGTACTTCAGTGAGTTGTCATATTAACAATAAAAAAATAGAGACGAATATTGTGTCTGTAGATGAAGATGAAATCTATACAAGAAATCGACTGCGAAAAACGAAGTGCTTTAAGAGCATAAAATAACTAAGTGTTCTCTTTAACTTAAGAAGCAAAATTGTGAGCGACAATGACTTAGATGGGGTACAGTTAACATTCAATAACCAGGAATTAATTCAAAGAAATGTCACTTGATTTATTATCAGCTAAACAAATAGTTGACGATATTTGGATTATATGACGAGTTTAGGAAAGCTCAAGTGGTTTCTACAAGATAGGGATAATGGACATAGCTTATGTCAAGGAGATTTAAGATCAACGAAAATTTTATTTTTAAAAATAGTGTCTATATAAAATGCGATAGTATATGCTACCGTGACAAAAAGAGAGCTAGGCAAGAAGTATAAGGAACTTTAAACTATTTGTGAACAAGGTTGCTGTTGTAGGTGCCGTTAAAAGCTGCGCATTTTCTAATGCAGATTTAGATATTGATGCATGCATTCAAATATTTTTTTCTTCTATTGATGTCCAACCTTT